TGTGCCAAATGTGGACACTTCTAGAACGTGGGAGACCTCACCACCACCAAACATACCTTGGCAATCTCCAGGCTTGACTACCATATTGGGGAGGCCTTTGCAAACTCCTTAGAAACTCTGTTTAGTTCAAAATGAAGCACATCGGCTCCACAATTCAGTGGAGTCAATCTTTAAGTTTGGAACAGGATTTACCTTATAAATTGCTTTCCTCTGAATTAACTCCCAGCACATGAAGATCCTCAGAGAAGGCCCTGTTCCAAGAACTGTGTAAACAAATCAACCTTCTCAGGAGGTGTCCAGATCTAGCATCTTGTGGCTGAATCTGATGTTCACCAGCTAACCTTCTCCGAGGTTTCCTTCAGAACATGAGGACAGGCATCTTGCTTCCACTATTAAATGAATGCCTTACTTCTTATATCAACCAAACTCTACAGCAGATGACAAATTATGTATTGCGTGTCACACACACATACAGAGCTGATTAACAATAATAGTAGTAGTAATTTTATTATTTGTACCCTGCCCGTTTGACTGGGTTGCCCCAGTTGAGCAGCTTCCAACAAATATAAAAGCATAATAAAATGTCAAACATTAACAACTTCACTATACAGGGAATTATATCCAGGGGCTGTTTTCTCCAACTTTAAAGCAGCATTGCTATTCTTTTATTGACCCTTTCCTTTCCACCCTTCTACTGCTGGCTGGCGAGTTCAAGGTCTGAGGTACTTATCCATAGTGCTAAAGTAGGTGGGATAAAGTTGGTGATATGGGGAAACTGTGTGAGCAACTCTGAAAACTAATGATCATGTGTTGGAAGTGGTATGTACAGAACTATAGTCCCATGTAACAGTCACATACCGCTCTGTGTTTCCTGCACAGGTGCAGGCGGACAGTCTGCCTGGAGACCGGTTTGCCCAAATGTACAGCAATGTTCAACCATCCTCAAGATGGCCTTTGCATCTGAAGTCATTGGGCCACTCTTCATCTTCCCTTCTCTGTACCTGATTTTCCAGTTGGGAGAGGGACTTCTCCTGGTTGTGATCTTCAGGAGTTATGACAAGATAAAAGAAACAAATGGCAAGTACAATCTTTTGGTGGGGGGCACCTGTTCCTTCCTTTAAAGATCAGCATTTATTCTATAGACTGCCAGGACAGATCAATTTAGTTAAGTTTGCCAGAGTCCAATCTGTGATTTCAGTAGTTGCCATTCTTCAGGGTTATCAGTAGGGTTGCCATATTTCCAAAAGTAAAAACCAAGGCACCCCGAAAGTTGCCGAAGATCCAGGACAAACAGCTGGCTTCCCGAAATTCTCCCTGGACATCACTTCTGCCTTTGAAATCCCAGTAATTTCTGGGAAATCCTGGATGTATGGCAGCCCTAGTTATCAGTGAAGTATTTTATTAAAGGATGCCTTTTTCAATAAAATCATCTACATCATTTGGATTATTCAATGCATGTAATCTCCTTGTTAATTTTTATGATATAGCAATAGACCATACATTCAGTTTCCAATGGCATGGAACTTTGTAAAACTGAGAGCTGTTTGGTTTTTGACATTTAGCTTGTGTAAACTTCAGTTATGACTACATGCATAGGCATGTAGATATAGTTAAGCACATGGAAACTGCCTTTCCCAGTTGCACTTTTCCACATTGTTAATCTGGCTCTAGATTAGTTAACCAGCAAATGTGGAACAAAACGGCAAACTGATGATAAATTCTGGCAACAGGCAAAGACCCTTTTATTTTCAAAGGTCTTTTATATGTGAAATTGTATCCCTGGTTATTCATTTTATCTGTGGCTTTTAGATTTTATTGGTTTGATTGTATTATTGCATTTTTATCTGTTGACTATAAATACTTAAAATTAATAATAATAAACCTAATCTGGATTTCATGGAGCAGACTTAACTGTGTTTGCCTCAGAGATAAACAAAAGTAATATATTTACAGGTTTAATAGGAGTGGTTGTTTCCTAAAGCTCCCCCCATTGATATAGGTAACAGAGCATCTTCCCTCTTTTTTCGCCTTTCATTTTAGATTCAGCAAAAATGATCTACAGAAATGTGGGCAACAGCGAAGTGGAAACCAACCAATGACTAGAGCCCCTAAGTAGAATCAATAATCCAATGGAATGCTGACACACACAAAAAGGGCAACTATACCGTCAGAACTCCAGGTTACTCCTGTGGCTGAGGTCTGCTGAACTCTGGCGACAGTCCTGCACAAAACGTTATGGTGGAATCTACACACATATAAAAAAATGCTGTGAAAATGCTTTTTAAAAAAATGTTTTGAAAAATATATTGAATTTGCCATAGTTCACTGTCACCATCTAGTGTGACATTTGTATATTGTACCTTACAACACACTTAAAACATTTTATTTGCAGCTGTGTAGCTGAGTCCTACGACTGTGAAGAGTGAGGAACGTTATTCAATATTCACAGTTTTCTGAGACAAATCCTGAAGCGATTCAGCACTAATTACGTTACCTTCATTCCTGATTCAAATAAGAGTTGGTCCCATTAAGATCAACACATATGATCACCATGATCCAGGGCTAATTGTCAAACTCATATCCAGTCATTCTTTCTTTATCACATACCTGTTTTCCAATATATCTCACAGTTTCACAAGATTACCAAACAGCTGTAATTTACCTGTTGAAATGTTCTTAATTTTACCAACAAATGGCTAATTATTGGGAATTTTTTTAAAAATGATTTTTCAATACTTCTACTACCTTGTAATAAAGCACATCACATTTATGGTCCTAAACTATCTTCCTATGCTACTTGGTGAAATTCCATAAATGATGGGTTCTAGTTTGTGGGTTCATATTATAGATACAGTGGTACCTCAGGTTACAGACACTTCAGGTTACAGACGCTTCAGGTTACAGATTCTGCTAACCTCAGGTTAAGAACTTTGCTTCAGGATGAGAACAGAAATTGTGCAGCGGTGGCGCGGCGGCAGCGGGAGACCCCATTAGCTAAAGTGGTACCTAAGGTTAAGAACAGTTTCAGGTTAAGAACGGACCTCCAGAACAAATTAAGTTCTTAACCCGAGGTACCACTGTATAGGGTTGTATCTGGTGTTAGTCCTACTCAGAGTAGGCACATTGGGCTGGATTCAGCTAACAGGTCTTGCTAGTGGAAGCCAAGCAAGGACCTCCACTAGCACAACAGGGCTTTCCCCCTTCTTCTCCTCCCATAAGGTAAAGGTAAAGGGACCCCTGACCATTAGGTCCAGTCATGGTCAACTCTGGAGTTGCGGTGCTCATCTTGCTTTATTGGCCAAGGGAACCGGCGTACAGCTTCCGGGTCATGTGGCCAGCATGACTAAGCCACTTCTGGTGAACCAGAGCAGTGCACGGAAATGCTGTTTACCTTCCCGCCAGAGTGGTTCCTATTTATCTACTTGCACTTTGACGTGCTTTTGAACTGCTAGGTTGGCAGGAGCAGGGACTGAGCAACGGGAGCTCACACCTTCGTGGGGATTCAAATGGCCGACCTTCTAATCGGCAAGTCCTAGGCTCTGTGGTTTCAACCCACAGTGCCACCTGCGTCCTCTCCTCCCATACCCCCCCCCCAATTGACTAAGCAAGGGCAGAGACAACCCACTGAACAGTGTGAAGCAGAGGTGGGGAGGGGAGTGGTTTTTTTGTCCGACCAGCTGAAATGTTTGCACCATTGGAATGATTGCCATAGCACTATGCTGAATACCTCCCATCGTAATTAATGGCCATGACAAACTTAATTTCAATGGGTCTACTCTGCATAGGGCTTGGTTAGATACAACACATAGTTAATACCATTTGCATGATTCAGGGGATAGGATTGGCCTTCCCCATGACTAAGCCGGGTTCTCGTGTCTTGAGCTAAAGCTTGCCAGGCAGAAATTCAACATTTCCACACCAACCAACCTCCACAGAGAACTGCACACCTGTTGAATGTCTGCCTGTCATGTCTCTGTTACAGGTACAAAAGCCCTGCCCTGTGACTCAAAATAATCCTTGTTTTGGAGCCAAACTTTTTCCATGGAGGGAGATATTTTCTTGCAACATGATCTTGAGTTGCTCAACTTTTTTGAGTGGAAGACGCTCCCTGCTGAGAGAAGGAACACTGGCCTTGGGCTGATCGCCACTCTTGTTGGGTTGAAAACCAGGGAGAACGAGGAACGCTGCCTTGAGGGTTTTTTTTTTAACTGGAGAGGGGGACGAGGGCAGGATATAAACGCAATAAATCAGCAACCACCCTTCATCCTTATTGTTGTACTAGACAGGCGCCCTGCCTTCCGTGCGGGATCCTCATCAATATAGGACCCCTTCGCTCTGAATTTATATGTACTCAACACGTGCCTACAAGTTCCCTGTCACACGCAGCGCAAACAAGGCTTGCTTAACAGAACAAAAAATAGGTTTCGCGGTGGGATGGGAACCATACAGCAGCCCCACCCCGTTACCCTCTGCGCGACAAAATGGCGGCTGGCTTCCCTGGGAAACTGAGCAGCCACGGCAGCCGGCAGAGCGACAGAAACACGGACACCGTGAGGGAGAGATATGGTTGCATAATTCGCGAGACCCACAAAACCAGGCAGTTTTGACGCCATTTTGTTTGTTTCCCCACCCGCGCTAGCCGAGTAAAGGGGGAAGCTGCCCATGGAGAAACGCAGCGCTTTGGTATAAACGCAGCTGCTGGGCAGCAACTTGTGCCCCCCCCCGAAAAGGAAGATCTAAGCTGCGAATATTTCGCGTTAGCTTGTCGGCATTTGAGAAATATATATGCAGCAAATGCCTATTAGCTTCCGCATTGCAGACGGGGAGGGAAGAGGGGAGTCACCGAGAACTGCTCTGGCTGCGTCTTTATCCCTGCATTGCAGAAGTGGGGCCGTAGAAGCAGCGGCTTCCTTATGCGGCTTAAGAGGCGGCACGGAGTGACTCCGCAGTATATGGATAGGACATGGGATCGTCGGCGGGTTGCTTAACAGTCTGGAAATGCAGTTGACACAATGGTAAGTCCGGCTCCCGATTTCGGGCTCGCAAGCTGCCGCCTCGCCCAGTAGGAGCGGCGCCTGCGTCTCGGCGATAATGCGGCAGCGCGCAAGGTGCTGCTCTCCAGCAACGGACTCTCTTCCGCGCAATGATTAACTAGCGCTTTAAAATACTGCCGCTTCGACTTTGTACCTCTCATCCCTTTCTAGCGAGAATTGTTCTGTATCTCCAGCTAAAAAAAATCTTACAAGACTGCAAGAAATCTATACCGGACTTGAATTGGCCTTCCATGATCAGCTCCCCCACCACCACCCAGCACTCAGTTGGGCATGTTTATCATGCAGGCCACGCACTATTAAGGTCAATTGGAAAGCATGCATTGACCCAGCCTCGTGGGCCTGGCAGACGGCAGCAGGAAACATCCTCCTAGCTTCTCTCTGAATGGCACAAAACAAAGTGTGCAGGGCCCATTAGCGTCAGCCTAATTTTGAGATGGCCTACTACGCCCCCCCACCCCATATAGGAAAAGAGAAACCCTTTGGTAAAGGTTCTTGAAATGGGGCCTACCATCTAATCCAGGCCTATGTAGTTTGCATAGCCCAGCTTCTGAATTTGCAGTCTCAAAATGACTCAAGTAAATTCTATTTTTAATATATAATTTATATTTAATCTTCTAATTTACATTTAAACAACTTTATCTTGTGTATTTTTCTCTTGTGAATTGCCTTGATAGCCCGAAGAGCAATTGTTCTGCACAACTGGAAGGGCTAATTTATTCTCATGGATGTGAATCCTCCCCAACTGCTTAAGTATGTTAAGCTACTGGTGGATTTCCAGATGCTAGACCCATTAGGTAAAGGGGCCTAATAGCTGGACACGAAAAGCTGTTCAAAGGGTCATTAGGCACAGTGATTAAAATGTTTTTTGTCTCGATTTCACCATGTTTTGTGTAGTGATTAAAATCTGGTCTAGTATTTTAGAACAAACAATTCCATGAAAATGCAGTATTTTCCTCTAACCCTCCTGGACTGTTAAGGAACTCAAAATCATTTAAATGCTGCAGACAGGAATTATTATTTTTTTAAAAAAACAACCTGGTCAAGTTCAATATAAATCAGGCCACTGCTGCTGCTCCTACAGGCATCCATCAAGAGCCAGTGTCATCTCTGCTCTTGGCTTTTTTGCTATAGCAGAGGCTTGAAGATTAACTAAAATGGGTCGAATGTAGTGAGTGAAAACTAATGTCTACTTTGGAAAGGCAGATGCTGCAGCAAAATAAATAAATAAATAAAATTGGGAACGGGTTGCCTTTGGGCAATGTAAAACTGGACTTTATTAAGTCAGGCAAGACAGACAAATGAAAAAGCATACTATCTTATACTGCCAGTGCAGTTTTTCTGCAATGTAGGGATTTACCACCTATGTTCTAGTTCCAGCTCCCCTTGTGCTCAAAACCCCCCTCAAATGGAGTGCCTAGTCATGCAGAGATTATGATTTGTTCTTCTGAAAAGCTCGCCCTTACATTCCCTGCTCAGTAGTTGTAAAGTATTGTGTATATATAAACCAACCTTATGCTAACTACTTTTTTCAAAGAAAACACACAACTTTAGTAGCATTTTATTTAATTAATAATGGAGACCAAGCCAATGCAGGAACACTAAGGAAGCATGGAAAATCTGAAATAAAGCTTTATTTACAGCTGGTGTAGAGCTCTACTGCCAATAAAACGTTTTCAACACCTGAAGTGTCATATACTGGAGTACACCGATAACTAAAAATGTTCAAAAGTAGGGTTCTCTTTAAATACAAAAAAAGTTTTCTTCAAAGAGCTCTAGCAATATACATAAAGCTATGCACTTCTGACTTAATGAAGTGAGCAGGAAAAGGATTATCAAAAAGACAATACAATTAATTCAGTAACTTGTGTGGTCCACATATACAAAGCTGTTAACCCCCCCCCCCCCCCCGTTCAGTTCCTCTTTCCCAGGAGTCACATACTTACCACAACTAATAGCAAGTATGATTTAAAAGTCCCCAGGGCAAACTATTTGTTCAGTTGCCACTGTCAACAGATCTTGACCTTGAGCGTGATCTCTGGCGATCCACAGAAGCTGGAGACTTTGATCTACTTGAGGAAGCACGTTTTTGGCTCTTTTCAGGGGCAGGAGACCTACTAACTGAGCGTGACTTGCTACGGCTCCTGCTCCTAGATCTGGTGTAAGACTTGCGGCTCCTGGAGCGAGAACGGCTACGAGACCTTGAGGAACTCCTACTACGAGACCTGGACCTGCTTCTGGACCTACTGTAATGGAATAAAATATTCATTTTAGGTTCTTCTCTGTGGAGAGATCTCAAACATGTCAATATGCAAACATTTATAAATTAAAATTCTTACCTGTGCCTTTTGCTGCCTTCAATTAGTTTTATTTTCCTTCCATTTATTTCTTTGCCAGAAAGCTTTTCAATAGCATTCTTTAAATCACTGTAAGAGGCAAATTCAACCACCCTAGTAGTATAAAAGAGGACATACAAATTAGTGAATAAAATAAGCTTAAGAAAAAAGCACATTTTACTAGTCTTTTTACTATTTCTCCTAATAGAGACCTTTCTCCAACACTATACATCAACCTTTGCCAACCTGGTGTCCTCCAAATGTTTCGTGACTACAACATCTAGAGGACACCAGGCAGGAAAGGACAGTATACATTATTACAGTATAACTATAATTACGCCATACCTCAATCACTATTACTGCACGATACCTACCCTTCATTTAACTTGGGCCTATGTGCATCTGCAAAGGTTACTTCCCCAGCTTGTCTCATGAAGTCTTTGAGATCCTAACACAAGATCAAACACGTTAAGACATAGCAGTAAACAATACTCATGAATAATATTTTAAAAAATACTACTGTAAGAAAAGGTGTTAAGAATTACAATGTGGCAGATGCCACAATTGTAGATAATACTACATTTGATAGAATACATCAGGGCACGAAATAAATGAAAACAGCAAATTGCTTTAAGCAAAATGCTCAACAACTTTTAACATTTAAGTTACTTGTCTATACAGTTTACTGAACAGAATGCATAACAGTTTATTTGCAGAAAAGCATTCTGAAATGTTTTATGATTAAACAGTACATTTACAAAAACACCAGTTATTTTGTGCCCCATATGTCATTAAAAATATAGTTTACTTTACCTTCATTAAAATTTCCCTAGGCTAGCCAAGCAGCAAACTGCATTAAGCGATCGAAGATACCGTCATGATATATGCCCGACTGGCTCTTCGCCAACCATGTGAAGAACACTACCCAGTCGAAGGAAGCCTTTAATCGCACAGCCCTCCCTATTAGCAGACTACTGGCGGATCCAGACATTCTCTAATCTTGTGAAGTTACACCAAGGACCACTTTACTGCGATCAGGATTCCAACGACCACCTAATGCGTATCTCTTTTCAACTCTCTCGGATCATCATCATCTTATTTTCGAAGCGTTACAGGAGGTACAGTTCTCAACTTAGGACTCAGAGCTCTTTAACTTTCGGGGATCGCTGCAACCCGGCACTTTAAGGAAGTGCATCGATTACGTCTAGACCAGCAAACACAGATCTAGAGGTGGCCAACTGATACACTGGAGGAGCTGACTGGATAAGTCAACCAGGCCCAACCAAGAGTGACCAAGACAGAACGATTAGGATAACCCACAGGCACTCCTCGTCATAAGGCCAACGACACAGATAGGCTGGCAAATAAAATGGATTTTTAAAGTGGTTAAAATGGATTTTGAAAACAAGGTAAAATTACATTAAAAACTCTACCATTAATCTACTTTTGAAAATGTATTTAAGCATTAAATATTAATAATTCTGATAATGTTTTAAAATTAAGATAAAAATTAGTTCTAATAAAAAACAATTTACATATTACATATTACATACCCATTAATTGATGTCTAAGAGATAATCATGTTTCAACAAACCTGCCAGCTGACTCTGGATGATAAGTTTTCTACAATGAGACGATTCTCTGTCCTTACAGGTGGAGCATTTCTGGAAAAAACAAAATGTTTAGTTCAGTAGCAACATCTAATAAAAAATGAATTAAGTGTCTGTCAGGTCCTCTAGACCATGCTTAGTTCTAGCTATGTATGTGTACATGATACCTTCTATCATTTCGTGGACGGCGGCTACTAAAACGGTCAGAGTATCGACCTCTGCCTCTTCCACCTCTAGAACGGGCCCTTGCATGTTCAATTGTAACCCTAGAAAGACAGACCAAACCACCAATTTATTTCATTGCTCAGGCGTTCATAATCACTCAGATCAGAAAACTACAGTACCTGGGGAAGACATGTTAAGATACTATGATCTACCTTTCACTGCAGAGCTCTTTTCCATCCAATTCATAGACTGCATCATCAGCATCTCTTGGATCTTCAAACTCCTGTTAAAAATAGGATCTGCTGAGTTCTGGCTTTGTATTCAATTAATGTAACAAATTAGAATGACATTTTAAACACCAATAACATTTTTTTTACACTTTCCCCCAAATCCTTAAGTCACATTTGACCTTTACATTAAACCAAACTATTTTTATTTAGAAAACATTGCTTCTATTTCATTAAAAATACAATTGGATGCAGTATTTTTCCACTGGCAGATCCTCCCCCCCCCCCCAAAAAAGGGGGAGAGACATTTATCCACTGAAATCCTAGTTGTACATGAACGGCTTATTTCCACTTACGACAAATCCAAAGCCTCTTTTCAAGTCGATGTCTCTGATGCGTCCATATCCCTTGAAAAATCTTTCAACATCCTTCTCTCTGGCGGCTGGATTGAGCCGTCCGATGAAAACACGACAACCACTCATGGTGTATCTAAAGATGAATCAGCTGTAGATAAAAAAACAATGCGTTAAGCAGGAAACCAGGAACAGAGATGCCGAAGCAAGATGGCTGCCACAAAAATAGGTCAGCAGCTGCTGGCATCGCCCTCCCCTTTGGACTGTGCCGCAGTACCGGCTCCGCCTTTCGCTGCCGCAATCTGACATCAAGGCAGGCAGAGCGCCAAACAAGCCCCGCCTCCACGCCTGCTGCTCCAGTCGGAATTCGCGTCCAAGCACCGCCTTTCCCCAAAGCCAATCAGAGAACGACGCATCCGTTTCTCCTTTTATGACATAGTGCCGACGACCAGCCCCGCGAGGCTCCGGAGCGACCGACCCGCGCATGCGCTCTACCGCAGGCCCGAGCTTTTCGCCAGACGCCATTTCTTCCACAAAATGGCGGCGGAAGCCCGCCGCACCCGCAACCCTCGTTTAGACTTTTCAGCAGCGGCACCGCCTGCGCTCCCCGCGGCCTAACTAAATATGGACGCGCCCAGCCACCGTTCAAACGCAAACCCCCATTTCCTTCTTCCGACACCTGCAAGAGGTCAAAAAAACGACCCTCCCCGTTGACCCGCTAATTGGATATTCCTTCCTCACGCTTCATCCCTTCCTCAGCCCCCCCCCTCGCAGTCTCCAAACAGCTGCAAAACCTGCACGAACCTGTATTTTTCTGATCGGTCGTTCTTGATCGAAGTAGGACAGATGCCAATCGACACTCGGCGATCAACTACCTCGAACCTTCCCCAACGGCGTCTAACTCCCGACTGGGTAGTTCGGTCGCTGACTGCGCCACAAAATGGAAGCTGGCACCACGTGACCGAGAAGGCACGTGACGCCCTTGTCGCTCAGGGATAGGTGGAAAGGGATGCAAAAATCTAGGTCAGCGGTGGAGTGGCGGGGGGAGGGCTTTCGGCTCGGCTGAGTCATGGGAAGAGAAGAGGATAAGCGGGTCAGGTTGGCCGGCGCGCGTGCGCAGTCGCGACGTAGCTCGATGGAGTTGAAAGGAAAGGGCTATTGGGAGATTATTGGGTTCTTTCCTGCAATACTAGGCGTCCTTTTACAGCCTCCCCACTCCTGTCAGCTGTCGAGAGAATAGAATAGACAAGGGAGGGTAAATAAGTCAGTGCAAGTAAGAGTGATGTTGCATAAGTGGGCGAAGCACCGGATGGGGGGCTCGCTAGTCTCCCCATTTCGAGTTAACTCATAAACCTTACCATGTGTTCAATGCATTATTTGCAGATTTCTTTAAATCCAGCGTGATTGTATGCTTGTTTATTAATAAGTCCTGGGACTTAACTCCCGTCTAAACGCTCATAGCATTGCAGGCTTTGCTTCCATAAAGCGATGTCGGATTTTTTTATTTTTTAAGAGCTTTCCTTTCGAAGACAGCCTTTCATTTCCCACTTTTGCTCTATAATATCCACGAGTCAGCATGAAGGGATCTGGACGGCATTTTTAACTTAAGCTCTTCGTGCTGCCACACTGCCCCCCCCCCACGACGTCCTCCTCCATAAAAATATCCGGTTACACAACGCGCAGCATTCCAGTAAAGGCCCGACTTCTCCAGCACCTTCCCAGAATTCCAGTTTGCATGATGGGTAAATCTTGGAGGGGTTGCGGGGTGAAAAATCTGCAACGGATTTGAAATGCGTTTTGTTTTTGTTTTTATAAGGAATGCAACTTCGTTGTTGATTTTATGCTGCCCACCGCCATAATGTTGGTACAGAATTTTTTGCATGTTTATATAGTAATAAAGTTCGTATACACAGGATTATTAATTAAACTGCTTGCTGTGATAGCATTTGATTCCTTTCTTAGGCTGTTAGTTCTCTATCGCAAGCGAAGTTGTGAAGCTTGATAAAAGCTTATGAAAAAGGATTATATTAAATTTACAAAGCTCAGATCAAAAACATTAAACAAAATGTATACAAATAAATGCAACCTTAAATATGTCAGAAGTGTCCCCTCTTGTAGCAATCGCAGCCCACTTACCTTTCTTCCCTGTTTAGTATAGGCATGTTGGACCCTCAGTAATTATTATTTTCTACAGCATCATCTATGTACACACAATGTTTTACAGAGTAGCATAAAGGAACAAAGGACAGATCCCTATCTAAGGAGAGGCAAGAGCAATTTTGGCTAATTTCCTGCTACCTCAAACTTATGCTTCCAATTGGAAGTGTGTTTACTTCATTAGACATATTCATTCAAATGTGTTTTTACATCAATTTTAAAGCCACAGAGTTTTGTCATATATCCCTCACTATTTTAATGGTTAACTTTGAACTTATGCCTCTATGAGTTATTTTGAGTTACTGTAATGTGAGACAGTCAGCAGTGAAAGCAGAATAAGGGTAAGGCTTTGAGGAGAGGACAGTCCCTTTGCTCTCTCTGTATGCTTTAAAGATAAGAAGTGATACTACTGCAGGAAGGAGCTGTGTATGCTTAGAAAGGGCATGAGCAGGAGCTTGTGTGAGCTTTGGCACACACATGTGGAACTACTGGACTGTAAAATCCTGAAATAGTGCAAGTGGCGCCTGCTTTGCTGGCACTGCAATTGCCGCTCCTCACCCACGCATACACTTTCATCTCCAAAGTCAATGAGTGAAGGACCAACAATGCCAAACACAGCACAAACCACAGGGCTCAGATGCACTTTGGATCACATAAGAGACTCCAGAAAAAAATGGCTGATTTTGTTGCATCTGGTTTTCTATCAAGGGTATCATAGCTGCTTCACTCACTGTGGGGACAATCCAGCCAGTTAAGCCATCATGGCTACAATTCTGTACCTGCAATCACAAACACATGCTTAAATCTAAATAGTGGGTGTTATAAGAATTTTAAGGTCATATATATAATAAATGTTCATAAATGTACCAAGCAAACACATACAAATATGTAAACCACATGTCTGAAACCCACAGAAAAGTCCTGAAACCATTTTCTCTCTCCCAAAATGTCCTCAGATATTTCTCTGCAAGGTTGAAGGAAATGGGAAATCTCCCATTGTCTCTTTTGCAAATCCTGTCATAAGGGCACATTTAAGATATGAATAGGGTGTGAGCCTGTGACCTGGATTCAGGAATTGAATAACAAAAGAGTGGCCAGGATGCCCAGGTAATCCAATCAAGCAACCTAGCAGACAAGAGGGAAAAAAACAACTCAGATTTCTGTGGTAGTCCGCCCCTCCTGTGATGTAAGTATGATGTTTTTGTGGGTGGTCTGGAGTTTGAGGATGAGCAATTTAAAAAGCCTATATAAGGGCGGGCACACATTTTGTTCTGGGTCCTTCGCCCTCCCCTGTGTGCCCGGGGGGTGGGTGGAGGGAGAGCACCCTGTTGCAACAGCTTTAATAAAGATCAGGCTTACTAGCTGCTTTGCTTCTCAATATTCTCTGATTGGTCTCTATTATTTTCTCCTACCGATAGAGAACCTACAAAAGGACTCTGTATGGGCTCTTAAAGGGTAAAGGTAAAGGGACCCCTGACCATTAGGTCCAGTCGCAAACAACTCTGGGGGTGCGGCGCTCATCTCGCTTTACTGGCCAAGGGAGCTTGGCGTACAGCTTCCGGGTCATGTAGTCAGCATGACTAAGCTGCTTCTGGTGAACCAGAGCAGCGCACAGAAACGCTGTTTACCTTCCCGCCGGAGCGATACCTATTTATCTACTTGCACTGCATGCTTTCGAACTGCTAGGTTGGCAGGAGCTGGGACCGAACAACAGGAGCTCACCCCATCGCGGGCATTCAAACTGCCGACCTTCTGATCTGTGGTTTACCCCACAGCACCACCCGTGTCCCCATATGGGCTGTTGTGTACCCCATAAGGGAAAAGGAGCAGTTTTTTCTCATAACAGTGGGCAAATGTGTTTCACATTTGCAGAGTTGTTCCCTACACTTTCTACAGTATCAAGCGAAACACTTTATGTACACATGCACAACTCCAGGCTTTATGCATGATAAGGTACAGATGCCAGGAAATTGAGCTTCTCTGCTTACTGTGAGGCATCTGATCAAGGCCTGTATTTTAAAATGAGCTTAAAGATATATTTGCAAATGTTTGTATGTTTCATACCAGGCAGAAACCAGCTGGCTAAGTACTTTGGCAGTTGTTTATCTTCCTGCTCTCCTGAACAACTCCTGCTCTCCCCCCCCCCCCCCGATTTATAGCAGTAGCAGGAGACAAGTTTCTCAAAGTTGTAAAAGGGAATTACAGGCTGGGAGCAAATGTTACACAGACCCTACATATTACAGAATACAATCAAGCTGCAAAAACACTAATTAAGAGTTGGTAAATAGTAAGATTTATTGTTTAACAGAAAATAGTACCATGTGCCTCCCATCAGACTCTAGCCATATTTTCCTAAGGTTTAAGGTATACTGAGAGAGTTAAAGGGCAATAAATTTTGGGAAGAGCTAATGGGAAAAGCAGCTGGCTGGGAAAGGGGGGGTGTAAACTGAAGAGGCTTCTTTTGAAGCTGTTTTTACTGAGTTCCTTTTTTACTTTGCAAAGGCCTTTTCTTCTAAAAAGCTATCTATGTTATGTATGAGATTTCTTGGCTTAATGTAATTATGCAAAGGATTTAGAAAGTAAGAAATGTTAGATTCTTATGTTAGATTCTTATTTCATTGATGGTGTGTGAGAATGTGAACCCAAGATCTCTGTTTAGATAGAATTTAATACCATGAGCCATTTGTTTTAGCCATTTGTTTTGGAATGCAGGGGCAACAGGGGCAAAAGGTGATCTGGTAATTAAGGTGCCTTGTCGAGGCAAATGTAAGATATATGGCTACTTGTCTGCCATTTATGGATAGAAGGAAATATAGCTCTTTGTCTCCCATAAAAGGTGATAGGAAATGGGTGTATCTTTTATGATTGGTTCTAGCAAACAGCCAATAGGAATTTCAACCAGGCTGATTGGACAGAGACAGCCAAAGGAGGAGCAAGGGGGCTGGGCTGAGGAAATATAAGTGCTGGCCATCAGGGCTGGAGGGGGGCAGAGCTTTGGTAACCATATACCACTGTGCCTATCATTTATTTGTCTGAAAAATAAATTATTATTTTAATTTCTCTATTGCTGCGTTGAATATTTCATTCCAGCTAAGCGTTAACCACAAGCAGGGTGCTACAACTGTACATGTATAGAGAGGCAAATACAGAAGGGGGGGGGAGAGTTCTGTATCTGTAAAATCATCCACACTGTTTCCATCTTCTGGAAAGTTGTGACTGGAAAAAAAATCTTCCATCCAAATCTCAGGGATTTTCTAGACATTGGTTTGGTTTGGTTATGCTTTGCTTTTAGTGCAGCCATCATCTCTTTTGCAGGGGATCCTTCTATTTTGAGGCAAACAAATAGTAAACTGGATTACAATGTTGTTAGGCAAAAACAGTTAGGATATCATGTAACCTCCCTGAATGACTCTGAGTGCCCCCAAACTAGAGGAACTAATTTCAAGTCCCCCAGCCTTCCCTAGAGTTCGGGGGACCCTGATTATGGAAAATAATCCCCAATCCAAAGGAATGTGTTTATGAATCCATATAGTGTGTATGATACTCTCAAGGCTGCTTTAGAGTGTAGTCTCCATGACCTATATATAAGCTCATGTTTAACATTCCTAGTGTGTTCAGCTATTTTCCACCATTCCACGCCTACATTTTAATTTTATTTGTAGGAGAACACACATATGTACCACACTTTTAAATTTGATCTGAACCCTCTTCAATTATACATTCATAGATTGTAATAGACCCCTTGAGGAGTAGCCAGACTGGCTTTTTATGAATAAGTTAGTTAGGTCAACATTAAA